CCTTGAAATAATTTATTCAATTTTTAGGTAAGTTATAATATTTCATACAGTAATTTATTTATCAGTCTTCTCAAGCAAATCAAGTAACATAAAAACTTAAAAGTCATTGACATTTAAAAAGCAGTCAAATTCAAATTTACATATTACATATTACAGTACATTTTACACAGTATATGTACAGTGTAAAATCAATGAAAGGTGTCCTTTTGTTTCGTACAAGCAATTGTGAAACTGCAGCCCTTCTTGTACATCAATTATTATTTTAATACTTATATAGAAGATGCTTATAATTGTAAATGATAGTAATAATACCAATAATACAATTAATTATTGTACAATATGATATTCAGATGTGAAGACTAGAGTTTTGAAATGTTATTTTGTTATATAAATCGGTGTGATCTATTTGCGAAAAGACAAATTCCTAATACAAGAAATTGTAAATGGCCAATAAAGTGATCTTATCTATTTCCACTCACTTCATTTACTAAGTAATATGTTTATAAAAGGAATATTTAATGTAGTTTAGTTCAGCTGTCATACTATCCAACATTCATTGTTTAAAGATACTGCTAATATGTTGCATCATTTCTTGTGTGTTAACCAATATGCTTAACACATTTTAACAAATGCATGATTGTTGGTTTAGACTGTATGAAATAACAAGTTAGAAGATACACAGCTGAGATGGCTGATCAGGCAAGTCCATCAGTTTCTTGGGATCATAATTTACCATAATCAATAGTCTGAGGTAGTAGGTTTTTAAATACCAATTAAATTCCCAGTTGTTTAATCTCACTAGGGTCTTTCAAAGCTTTGGAAAACAAATCTGATCTGAGAGAGTAATTTTTATTAAGCATTTTGTGGAAAATAAATGGTATCTTCAAAACATTCATACCTGTAATACTAAGCAACAAAACAAGTATTGTTGCAAAGCATACTAATATTTTTTAGCTCTTAAATTACATGTTAATTCCAATATCAGGGGCATTTAAAAAAGTGTCATCTCTTTATCAAGCACAATATGTTTGAAATCAAGCGTGATGGTTTTATTTTTGTGAAACAAATAAAATGAGTAAAACATGTGTTTCAATATGTTTTTGTTTCCTCATTTATTGCTTTGGATGTTAGTAAAGAATTGGAATTCAGACTTTCTCATGCTTATACTTTCCCTCGGTAAGTCCTGAAGTGAGTTATTTTTTCAGTCATTGGGGCCATTCAGTTTACAGGCGAGAACAGATCCATTATCACCCCTTTTGTTATCACCTCTTTTATTCAAAGGGACCCCTATGTGCAGCTGTCCCACAGAAAAATGAGCTGGACACACACATGTGACAATCTGGGTATATGCCGAAGACCCACACATCCCTCTCTTTCCATAGAGCCCAGATGGTTCTTCACCATACATTCTCAATCTTTTGAGGAGCATAGCAGCCTACATAATTAGAGAAGCTGTTTTGTCTCTGTCTTGGGATTTTCTTTTATTTTTCATGTCTTGCTTGTGTCTTATACACTGTGTACTCTTCCTCTTCCTGGATCTACCTCTAGGTAAATTGTTTGACTTTTTGCTATGACAGGACTCTGTAGTTGTGATGATTCTGCAAAATAGAATGAAAGGAAATGCTCTGAGGGCAGTGCAGTGTTGCAGAGACCCAGTAGGCTTCGGGGCACAACACAACATTAGTTTCCTTCCTCTGCACACTTCCTCCTATTCCTCTCCAAGAAGTGTTTTTGGAAGCTAGAACAGATAAATTCCATCCAAGGGAGTGTGCTCCAACCAATTTTTGAGCACTTAAAATGTTACATGAATCCATTTACAAAATGTTTTACTGCTACATTGGTCTACAACAAAGGTTTGACATGCAATCTAAAAATTAAATTTATGCCAAAGTGAGCAATTCAGCTAAAACAATCACATTCCTCATCTTCTTTTACTTTTTGAAAACATGAAATCAGAAACATGATCATTTTCACATATTGAAAATAATATACACAGAATACTCTATACTGTATGATACTTTATGGTATCATACAGTATAGATTATGTTATGGTAAGGGCTTGCTTACAGTGAATACTATGAAGGCACGAATATTAAGGAATGTATACCATTTTGTAAAAGTATAAAAAAACTTAAAAGTTAGGAAATTTGTAACATATATTTGTTTCTGAAAATATGAATTTGAAATCTGAATCGGAATTAATGCACATTTGTCTGCACTGCTGAAGTCACTGTATTGACTAGAACAGTAAACAGACCTGTAGCTCAGATGAGGAAATAAAATCTTTCTTTGTAGAGCGAGTGCAATACTTTGTAGCACAAAGAGATTCTCTTGCTTCAGAAAAGATTAATTCTGAGCTGCATGAGCTTGTCAAATTTATCAGCTTTATCAAGTACATGTATGTTTTGTCAACTTTCCACTCAGGTCAGCTCATCTCAGCTGGGTAATTCCAATAATAATATTGGGGATTCGTAAACTTTGTCTCTATATTGCAGTGGAATAATGACAGCCTTCATATCTGCACTGAGAATCACATTAAACTCAGCAAGGTCTAGAAGATGGAATAGGAGATTTTTTAAAAAGTTATTCTTTACCCAAATCATAATTCTTCAAATATGCTGGTCTTGACAGTTTATCACCCCTGACTCACAGAAACAGAAAAAAAAATGTTAAAATATATTTAAACTCTGACAATATTGTATTTGAATTTTTCTTGTGTTTTTCCATGTTCAGTTCATCCTGTCGGTTGGCAGAACTGTGTAGCAGCTGATACACCTCTACTACTGTGCAAGAAAACATAAAAATCATATCTCTCCTTACGTGCAAGTCTTTTCTGTGTGATTCTTGAGCATGAACTTACTATACAACGAAGGTGGTGGGTGTATGAAATTGGTTATGCAGCCATGTTGCTGAATCAGAAACTCTGGCCTTTGCAACATCAGTCAATGTTCTTTTAGAGCTCATTACTACAATTCATATGAATGTTTTCTTTGGCTGCCTAATTGCAAGACGTGGCGGATTTTGCTCTTAATGCAGTAACTGAGATGCATTGAAGCATTTCTGGCTTTGGGCTATAAATGGATAGAACCTTTTATAAAAAGTTCAGTATTTCTGAACTAGTGCATAAGCTATGTGTTTGCAGTAGCTCAGTCTTGCAAAAGAACCCTCCCCCTCTGCCCTACTGTAAACTGATGCAGGAATGGTTCTTTTGCCCTGGTGCAAATAATCTGTGCATGCTTTATTTTCTAATGCATGCCTTTGATTGGTCTGTTCTTACTCATAATGTCCCTTTCTGTTGATTAGGCTACAGGTATGTGTTTATATTGTGTAGGTGCCAGTTCCATGGATTCAGTAGAGTCCTGTAACTGTTCTGCCCACTGTCAAGAGCCAGCATATAGTCTTGGTGTGAGCTACAGCTAATGCTGTTTAAGATGTTTCGTATCTCAGTGTCTACATGTTTGTCCTTTAGCCCAGAAAAAGATTTGTTGGCTGCTATGAGTGCTGAGAGGTATGTACGTCTTTAGGCTATCAAGCTGAGCCATTTAGAGATTTATGAAACTGTGCAATTGTTTCAATTTGTGTCATTGTTTCCCTTTTGCAGTGTGGATTTCTGAAAATGACATACTGAAAAAGCAGTCTTATTTGGTTTAACAATACCTTCACTTTTGCTAACAATAAGATCATAAATGTGGTGTGAATGCTCCTATTAAGATACTGCGTAGCAAAGACATTCGTTTTTCAACAGTACATCCTGATGTATTGCTTTTCCTTCCCAGTAGAGGTCACTCTAAACATTCTCTTTCTCTGCGTGCTTTCTGAAGACTGATGTCTAGGAGCGTTTTATCGCATCTGAGAAAAGCCTCTAAAAATAAGAAAACGTATTTTAACATTTCCTATCAAATATAGCAGGGCTACTAATTTTGACAAATCTATTACCATATTTTAACCAATACATTTACATAATTTTCAAGTTATTGTTCTTTTGCAAAATATACATAAAATATTCTTGCAGTATATGTTTCTATTTTTATTGAATAGGCGTTTTATTGAATTTACATCGTTCAGGATAATATTCTTTCAGCAAATTTACATTTTTTTGGCTGATTTCCTCCTGCCCAAAGGTATACTGGATAGCCTGATAAGTGTCTCTAAATTGTCCTTTGTGTGTCCTGTCATGGACTAATATCCTGTCTGTAGTATAATCCCACATGGTGTGTTATGCTTCTGGGATAGGCTCCAGGTTGCTGTGATTGTTACCAGGAATAAGAGGCTTCTTCAAGTTAATGCATGCTTTTTTTTAATTTGAAAACCTTTGTATCCATTTTGTTTGTTGACAGTTTTATAAACGCAGCGAAGTGTTGTATATCTTAAATTGAAACCCCATGCCTCCAAATCGATTCTAACCGCATAGGATTTTTTTTAAAAATATGCTTCCCATGTACATTAACATATTAAAAACAACAGGAGAGTTTATCACAGCTCTGATGTCACACAACGGGACAAGTACAGTATGTGACAGTCTACAATTATTGAAATTAATTTTAGTAATGTCACTGTACTAGTATCTTTTGGTGGAGATTCCAGATTAACATGTAGATGGTGTTGTGGACTAGTCTGTTATGAATTATTCCACAGCATTAGTTTTGGATAAAAGTAAGGCTCAGGTGTATTAAAAGATTGTGCCTGTTATAGTAGTCAAAAAGCCTGTTGAAAAGGTACTGTACTAAAGAAGTGCAATGACAATTGGAGGGTTTAAAAAAACACTTTATGGAGGCAATTGTCATTACAATAAGGCCCTTGATAAATATTCAATTCTGAATAGTTAAGTAAAGAAAACACAAACTATAAAATATTTTAACATTACCACACAAAACTACTAAAAACGATTTACGACGTGCTGCTGACAGTTTTTTTAATCTAGGAACGGTTTTCAAAATAACATGTTTCCGTTGTGTAGGGGGAATTTTAAAATAGAGCAAGTATTTCCGTTTACTACTTTTTCGACAGTTAGGTTTACGGCTGGTTGCATGTGGCTGATACAAGTAAGAGACAGGATGTTTACGCTATAGTAAGGCGACACGGCATATGCATGTATATTTTTATTTGAGAACAGATTTTTGTTGTTTTAAAAACATTTTAACAGAAACTGAACAGAATAAAGCGTAATACAAGAAAATGGGGAAGCAGAAAAAGAAAAGTAAGACTTGGCGATTCTAAATATTTATCCTAGATACAACAGAAAGTATATGTTGTGATGTTAAGATAAAGTAGTTCCTATGATGTTTTATTAAAGTGTTTGCCAGTGTAACACATTCTTGTATGTGGTCGCTGAGAATCATCAAATCTCAACCACAACATAGGGTCATATAGCTTTGTTATATAGTCATATAGTTTATGTAGTCTTTGTTAGAACTTATTATACTGAACTTATCTTATAATAAGATCAACATCTGCTATTTGTTTTGAGATGACACATTATTTAAAAGTAACGAAAGTCAAGCCTCCATTTAATTCTTAAAATGTATTACTTATTTTATGTCGTTTATACAAATGAAAAATACACACATTGGTGAAAGGTATACGAGGGTGACAGTATCTTGTGTCAAAACCTTTCATAGTTGTTTTTACACATTTTGAGATAACAATGTGAACTGTACACAATGTTAGCATTTGTGTATTGTATTGTTGGATGCTCTTAATTGGCCCTAGTCTTTGTCCTCCATCTTAATGACTTGTTGTCAATGTAGCAGATCATTAATGATCATAAAAAAAGACTTAGCTGTTTACTGTATGTTGACATAAACTAACCTACTGTAAGTCTTTACATCTTCTACACAATGGAGGGAAGCAATTAAAAAGTTAAAAATAGTGTTAGTATTTATAGTGAACACTATAAAACAGAAGAAAACTTTGTCTAGGTTGTGATTTTGAAGTGTTTTTTATTGTAAGTTTTAGAGTTTATTTATATATACTTAAGTTTTTTTTTCTTTCCATAGAACTGTAATCTAAAAAATCCCACAACTACTGGCGAGTTTCTTTTCCTGAATTGCAAATTGAGACCTCTTGGGAAAAACTAAAGTTGCTGCTGGAAGAGGTATTAGTGGGGCCAGCAGGGGGCGCTCACCCTGCGGTCCATGTGGGTCCTAATGCCCCAGTATAGTGACGGGGACACTATATTGTAAACAGGTGCCGTCCTTCGGATGAGACGTAAAACCGAGGTCCTGACAATCTGTGGTCATTAAAAATCCCAGGGCGTTTCTCGAAAACCAATCATGGCCTCCTAATAATCCCCCTCTATGAATTGGCTACATTACTCTGCTCTCCTCCCCACTGATAGCTGATGTGTGGTGAGCGTTCTGGCGCTCTGTGTGTGGTGGCATTATCCAGGTGGATGCTGCACATTGGTGGTGGTGGAGGGGAGTCCCCATTATCTGTAAAGCGCTTTGAGTGGAGTGTTCAGGAAAGCGCTATATAAGTGTAAACAATTATTATTATTATAATTATTATTATTCCCTCAGTCACTTTTTTGATGTGCAATTTTTCCCTTCACTGAAATCAGCTGTTCTTGTGTGTGCTTGGCAGGTGACCTGAGCCATGCAGAGCTGATGATGATGACAATTGCAGATGTGATCAAACAGTTGGTGGAGGCTCATGAAGAGGGAAAAGATATCAACCTCAACAAGTATGTTGATCTTTCATCTTCTATCGTGATAGAAATGTACATAAATTAAACATAAAAAATTATTGGTTGAGTGTGGAATGCATTTAATACAATAACAGTATTCAGAGAATGTCATAGTCTTTTTTGTTTTTAGTTGGCAGAATTTTCACCTAACAATTATTGTGCCTGAAAGTCCATAAATTACATGTATGTGGGTTTATGGACAAACATAATGATTCATAAAGGGTTGGACAGTATGTTACTTCAAAGGCCAGCCATTTTGATAATTTTGTTAAGGGATTGTGGTAAACCAAATTTTGTAAAAATGTGATTTTTAATTGCATCAAAGACTTGTATTAGAATTAATTAAATGATATTTGACCACCCCTGCTTTAGGACTTAACTTTAAAGTTTGTTATACATGCAGTACTTTTCAGTTAAATTTAAGCTGGTCTCTAACATGTAGTATGACTGTAGTGATAGTAAAAATTTTAATATCACCAATAATTCTTGGCAGCAAAAAACAACTTGGCATTTACTAGTCTGTTTTTGTTTTTACATTCTCGAAATATTATTTGGCTTAAAGTACACTAAAGTGCAAAGTTAGAAAGCACATCTTACTGGTGAACAATCTTGACATCTAAAGGTATACTTGAGCTAAGCTTATTTAAGAAATTAAAGACTTTGCAAATACTATATCTCAACTTGTTAGTTAACTAGTCAGTGGGATACTCATCTAAAATTAATTTCTGTCTTCCACCCTGCCCTGCAGACTGAAAACAAAAACATCCGCCAAGTATGGACTCTCCTCACAGCCTCGGCTTGTGGACATCATTGCAGCGGTACCACCTCAATACCGGCAGGTTCTGGTGCCAAAGCTGAAGGCCAAGCCCATCCGGACAGCCAGTGGGGTAGGTGACCTAGCTTTCACTGAAACTGAACTCTGTTGCACATGTCTTATTTCATCAGTTATTAGTCACTGTTCTCACTAATCAATCTTTCTGCCAAAGACGTCATCTTCTTCTAATCTTTGCAATACGGGATTCAGCATAACCTATTGGGCCTCTCTAAGACCAAGGCCAGAGTCCCCTGTCCAAACGTGTCCGTATTCTCAGAAGTTACTTAAATATTCTGAGTGTGCTGTGTCTTTTTCATTCCGGGCAGATAGCAGTGGTTGCTGTCATGTGCAAACCTCATCGCTGCCCTCACATCAACTTCACAGGCAACATCTGTGTGTAAGTATGTCTGCAAGAATTTGCATCTATGTTTTTATTCTAAAACCATATAGGAAACAGCAGATCTAAGATGTCGGAAAGCACATTAATTCAGCAGTCACTGGTAGCACTGCAAATGCCTAGGTGTTAAACACACCGCAGGCACTATTCAGGATGAGAGAATTAATGCGCTGCACAAGCAATCACACAGTATACCTTTCCCTGGGGAATCCAGTAGATTTTTTATATTTGAAGGTCCAATTGGTAGTATGAGATGTTGCCATGATGGGAGGAGCTGTCTTGAAACATGAAGCATTTTTGTGGTAATTTTTTTTCAGGTTACTTTGTTCAGGCCTTTTCTATTCCCAGTGCTTGATTCTACAAATTTGTGAATATTAAAAAAATCTCAGATTACCACAGAAAAGATAAAGAGGGCTCTGTGTGCTGGAAATTTCTTTTGCTTTATTAGCGATTTACAGTGAAAAACATCAGTCAAAGCCTACGATATGGGGTGGATATAGGTACACGAGAATAAAAAAACAAAAACAAAACAACATAAAGAATTTGGCATCTCAAGTATAGCCTAGAATTTGCAGTTTAGAATTTGGCCTTTGCAGCTGTCTGATTTTGATTTGTCTTGACTGTCTATCCTTACCTTGTAAGGTAGATTATAACCAACCTAGAAATGCTGTCTTCACATTAGCGATCATTGTTGGTAGTGTGTTACCTTTGATCTTGTGGTATTCACTTTTTTGTTCTTTATTTAAATAATAAAACAAATTCTGATTTGTACAGCAAGGCATTAACTGGAACAATCTTAGCGAATTAACTTGCTCATGGAAACAACAGCAGCTTGACACCTGGAATTTGAGCTCATTATCTCTTCTCTGGAATGTTAGACTCATTACAGCTCTGCTCATGGGAAAGCTTTATTATCTACATTCTGTATCCTTCTATACATACTGAATAAAAAAAAAAACATTCATGTATTTAAGCATGCCTACATTTCTACAAAGACAGCAGTTGAACACAATATGTTGCTTATGTTGAAACCCATCTTTATGTGAAACCTCTTAAAGTTAACAAATGTGTTTAATGATAAAATTGATAGAAGTTTTAGGTTTTTCTTCCTCGCTTTATAAATGTGTTTTTCAGGTACTGCCCAGGTGGTCCCGACTCAGACTTTGAATATTCAACGCAGTCCTATACAGGATATGAGGTAAAATGCTAGTGGCTGAGAGCTAAACAAAGTTGCATAGCAAGCTTGCACACAGGTTGGGAGGTTAAAAAAAAGTTGTTTGTGAGAAACTGCGCTGGTTAATGGGAAGCTGGTGAGTACAGGTGTTCTCTGTTTCTGTTTGATCTTCTATTCAGACTTGGAACAGTGACAGGACCTAAAATATTTAGGGGGGTATAAAGGCTTTGTCTTTTTTGTAATCTTTCTTATAATCCTACCATTTTGCAAAAAACAATTTGGCTTAATTTTTGATGAGGAAAATTTAGAATGACAAAAATTCTAATAACTTAAAGGAACAGAAGGCTCCTAAATGCTTTCCTCTGCTCCACAGCCTACTTCTATGAGAGCCATTCGAGCCCGTTATGACCCCTACCTTCAGACGCGCCATCGTGTAGAGCAGGTAAGCATACGTGCAGCAACAGACCAGTCTTGTTTTGTACATTGTCTTTCTTTGTCTTTCTATGTCCCTATATAAGAGTGGTTTAAAAAGCTGTGAGCATAATACACTGTTGATGGAATGATCAGGCTGTTCCTCTATTCTTGTTGCAATATTCTTGATTAATTTGGTTTTGCTGTATTGTTTCCACATGGGCGGTTAGTAAATACTGTGACATTGGGTAGTGGGATGTGCCGTGGCAAGCACCGGTAAAAAGTCTACGCCCCGGGTAAGGGGACAGAAGCACCTGTGTGAGGCAAGCAGGGACCAAAAATATTACAAAAATAGTGGAAAAAATGCAACAAAAAGAAAGTGTACCGCTGTGCTGTGTTACCTTCAGGCTGGGCTTACCCTATTTAACAGGGTCCAGCCTGGGAAAAAGAACTGCTAACACAGCGATAACCAGACGGGACTTTGCCTGTTTAGCGGGGTCCAGCCTAGTGAGCTGGGCACGTAAGGTAAAAACAAAACAAAAACTTAGTGCGTAATAAAAACGTGTGTTTGCCTACCCCTGTGAAAGCATGTGATGGGACAGGCAAAAAAGAAAACCTTACGCGGATGCTATCCCCTCCAGGACTGTGGGTGTAAACTACACCCTTCCGGGGGTGGCCCTGCTTGTCCTGTCGGGGGGTGTCCAGTGTGCCTTTATAGGACCCGCCCAGCTGGGGCTTATCAACTGGAAGCCAAAACAGCTGGGAATACAATGGGGAGGCATTGCCCTTCGACCAGGGCTCTGCCTTCACACTGGACATGCCCCCGCGTAATGCCACAGTACTGAAAATCAATCCTGTTTATTTAAAGCTACTTTATTTTTTATATTTTAGTTATTTGACAGCAAACATTTGCAGCTAGTTCACATATCTTGCATATTTTCCATTTTAATGGATTTCAATGGCTACAGCTCCTAAAATAAAACTAACATGTCAGTTTCATCTTTAGTTTAAATATTCTATATAATTTTTTAATGTTCCCCAAAATATTCCATCTATGTACTAATAGCAGTGACCTCATTTGCCTATGCTTTGACAAGACTCTTTGTATAAGCTTCACTATACAGTGATGTTTTTATGTACAGTATTTCTGAATCATTCTAAATGAAGTATTAGAAAAAAAAGTAAATTATTAACTTGGGATATTTCATTTATTTTTTTGAGAGGTGGTGTTGGATAGGTATAAAACTGTTCTAGATTTTTATGTTAATATTACGCATTTCTCTTTAGACTAAATACAAAGGTTTCAGAGAATCCAGTCCCACAGTCTGATGTCTTTTGCTGGTGACCTTGGGCTTCTGTCTTCTTGTCAGTTGAATGTATTCTCCTATGGCTGCCAGCTAACAGCATTATATACACAAGCTAAACAAGCAAGAGGGTTCAGGTCTAGTAATCAGAATAGGTATATGTTGTTCATGGCCATATTGGCAATCTTCCATGTCAAAGCAGTAGCAAATTATTTTGAGAAAGAATTCTATTAAGAAAGCTACAGTGGATCTGACCATAATGAAACACTATTGAGCCAGCAAAGCTGGAAACAATGACTTATTTAAGAAATAGTATCAACTATAGTAGTCGTTGGCTGACAGCAGTCAGTTATAACTTTAGATAACTACCCACATGACTTGAGATTTATTGTATACAATATGACACTAAGTATACATTCACTCTAAGAGATTAACAGATATTAAAGAGAGACTTACATTAGTGTTATTTTGGGGACTGTAGCCATTGGAAGCTTAATCAAAAGGATATCAGAGATGATAGGAATGATAAAAGATCAAAAGGCAGTAAGTCTGTAGTTTGTGCAGGAGATAAATACAGGTCCAAGCAGTATTTAGGGAAGTGAAGGATGCTACTTCACAGAGGAAAAGTCTAACAGCGCCTCACAATATAATAGAATGAAATGTATGGAATTTAAATTAAAAAATGATAGGAATAACAGAGTGGGGTAAGGGTGTCTTACATGCCTTTAACTGGTTTGTGTTATAAGCAGTTATGGGAGGTTTTGTGCTTGTACCTCTCTGACTGTCAGGAATCATACTACACTTGTGAGTGAAAGATGTCCTCTTGTTTCTACAGATTCCTATTAGATACAGAACCCAGTGTGTCTGGGTGAAAAGTTCCACTATAAGCTACAGTCAACCACATGAATGAGATATTGCCATCTCCCATTTTTAACATTCCTTCTGTTCTTTTGCACTCCTGTGCAGCTGAAGCAGCTGGGCCACAGTGTGGACAAAGTGGAGTTTATTGTAATGGGCGGAACGTTCATGGCCCTGTCAGAAGAGTACAGAGACTACTTCATCAGGAGCCTGCACGACGCACTCTCAGGCCACACCTCGAACAGTGTAGCTGAGGCTGTCAGGTAACTCAACGTGTGTTGCTCAAGATAACATTGTACATTTGCATCTTTTGTAATGCCCCAGCATTCACATTTACTTTTTCCTCTGCTTTGTGGCTCCTCTTACAGTTCTGGTTTGTTTAACTGCTTCTGTGTGGAGCCTAAACAGGAAGGGTAAATGTAGGCCATGACAGATCTTCTCGAAAGAGGTGGAAAGCATTATTTTCAAGTTGCTAACTAATGAGGATCTCCTTGCACGAATAGCTTGCTTTAGGTCATGCCATAATATTTCAGTGGAATTTACAGTTGTATGCAAAAGTTTAGTCACCCACCCCCGGCCAAATTGTATGTTCCAATGAATCTCTAAGTGAAAAGGACTTGACACAAGGTCTGTGTGGTACAAATTTCAACATGACATCTTTCTGCAAATTTGTATGCACAATTAATGTTTATTTGCTGATTTTAACAGATTGAAGGAAAAAAAACTGAATGTGGCATGTTCAAAAGCCTGGGCACTCTTCCAGTATATTCATTTTTACCTTTTTTATGTTGTGTTTTTCAAAGGTCCCAGAACGTGATTGATTCTTTAGGCTTTACTTAAGTCGGGTGCAGACAATTCACTAATACTCTGGCCCTAGAGGTTCATGATACTAAAGCTGGCTTTGTTGGATTGTTCTTAAACTCTAAGATTTGGTTGTAGGAGTAACTAGTACCTGAAAATTAGTATAACCCTGCCTCCTTAGTAAAGTTTCTAATGCAATTATTTATTATATTTTATATGATATATTTCATGGATCACACAGACCTCATGCAGGTATATACAAATAGAGTTTTAAACCATACAATTTACCAGAGCTGTATTCTCATACATTCATCATTATTTTTGTACTCTCACACAGCAGAAAGTCTTACATGTTCAGTACAAGATAATCGCCTTTGCATTTACTTTTATCTTAAGGTCAATTGCAATATGCAATTTCCTCTGATTTCCCATGTTTCTAGCTGGTGTGGTGCACTTTTAACATTTGATTATAAGTGCTTTCATTTAACATTAAACTGAGTAGCCTGTCTAGCTGTGCTCATATCTCCACTAGAGGACACTCTATGTTAAGCATAAGTAGTGACATCTTGCACTGCTTAGCAATTATAGATCAGTCCTTTGCCAGTTACAGTAGCTTGCCATTTCCCGTCAAAAACATTTCTTGTCTTCTGAAAAGCACTGATGCAAAATGTTTGATATAATTGTTAGTTATGAAAACTGTTTTTAAAGCACAGAAGAGTAAAAACAACTCAATTTTAAAAAGGAAGTAAAATAAATGCAGGAAGTAATTTTCAATTCTTAAGGTTCCTTCAATCCCTTTTCTAAAATACCTTTGAAAATGAAAACAGTAACTATGGTCCCACTTCTAAAGATCTCATTTAGTCGTCTCTTTCAAGAAACGGTTGGATTAGATCCTTGGATCAGTTAACTATTAGTCATGTGGTTCTTAGCAACAGAATGCAGGTGCAATGATCAGTCAATAGAAATTCTGGAGGCAATTCAAATTGAAATTTATTAAATTTGTCTGAGTTGAGGTTTAATACAAAGTATACTGAATTTATGAAGCTTGTGCAAGAATTACTGGAGTAAAGAGAAGAAGGGTACTAGAGGATTGTATAAGGTACCTAAAATAGATGGGGAAATTGATGTTCTTAATTTATTCCGTGAACATACCCTTAGTTTATAAGATCTAAAGTGTCTCAAAGTAGAATTATTGACTATGGACCAGACTTAGTAACGTGCATTGTTACTCACCAACTGGAAAGCATTCTTTTATTTGCATTGATTTTGCTAAAATTTCATTTGTTATACATTCAAATTATGTTGGCAGTATTGTACGTCCTAAGATATTACTGATCCTGAAAAGAACTTAACAGCATTAAGGTGCACCTGTCGTGTTTTGCAGCTCTAAACATGAATGAGTAACACACTGTCAGAATGATTGGTAAAGGGAAGTTATGTATGAGTATCTGAATAAGGATATATAAGGACATATTGTTGGTTGATAGGTGTACATATATTGGTTTATGCTTATAAGTTGAGTTGTAGTATAAGTAAAGTTGAAGTTCTTGAAGTGCATTACTCAGATGTTTTCAGTCTAACTGAAGTTTGTGTATTCATCTGTAACCAGTGAGGAATCCAAGCGACTCATCATGGTGAAATCTTTGTCAATGATTATCATAAAATTGCCTGCTCACAGCAAAATATATGATTCTGATGGTGCGATTTTGAGCTTCCTCCTGATTAATTAGTTCCCCATTGTTATATCTGCTCTAATTTTTTCTGCTGTTGTTACCAGTGCTGTAATATTTTTCTCCAGATCTGTCCAGTCTCATCCCATTTCATGTAGTAGTAAACCTTATTTGCACACTGCTTTTGGATGTTTTTTGGATGTTTGGATGTACACTGGCGTTCCTGTATTTTAAAAAATAACTACCCTGAAATAATTATTAATTATTGCTGTGTTACCAGTACAAGGAGGTAGGCAATAATAAACAGCAAAAGCAATGACCTTGTTCTCCACTGGGCTCAAATGGTACATGTGAGGGAAACATGCTGCCTGCACTGAACACAATGAACACAACGAATGAGACACTATTTTGAAAAGGGAGTAAAAATTCGAAGCTTGACTGAAAAAGAAAAGTGACTACTGAGTATTAAAGTTATAGGTATTGTATTTAAAGAACAGAAGTAACTTATGGGGAAGTGAACTGGTATATTTTTCGGATCACTGCAGCTTGTTCTTTTAATCTGAATATTGTCATTGTCAGCAAGCCAAGGGTCTTCACTGAGTCTGAGGGTAAATTTGTCACAAAAAGAATGCATTAGAGAAGTTAATACGTTTTTATTGCTGCTGTAGCAACTTTGACCAGGAAATTGCATGGTACTTCAGAATGACAGGCAGCGTTGTGCTTTTTTCCCCTCAAAGTGCAAACGCTGCAATCTTTGGAGCATTTCCCCATTTGTTTCTCTGATTGGATGGATAAGTAAAGAAAACTGATTGCTATTAAGGGGATCATTAAACACTTTTTTATTGGCTGTTTCTACCTATTTTGTAGAACAGCATACCATCCTGTCATTCCAGCTGATAGGTTTTCACTGTTGTTACAGAGTAATTGCTAGACTTTATTAGGCTGAACAAAGTTGGTTTGTCACCTAGGCGGTCAAAGCCGCTTTATCTCTTTAGAAACATACCCATGAAATATCTCAAGCTCTGTTTTAAATAGACACAGACTACTTCCCAGATAAAATCAAAACTTTTAACTCAGTCACTAGTGCAAAAGTGTAAATACGTCATTTGAAGTCAGCTTTCTTTTCAAATCTGTTTCTGGTTCAATGAAAAATCACGTTGATGTGCTGTGTTTGGGAATTTGCAATTTGCAGGTTTTAGTGTTTTGATATGCAGTAATATGGAGGTATTTATGTACTCAAGAAGATTTTTCCTCGTTTAAAGTATTGAAAAATGAGGTGACATAACACATTTTTTTATCTGAGTTATCCATGTGCACTAACCATCCATGTCCACTGGCTTGTGCTTCTCATTTGATTCTGAAGAACACTATTGCAGTGATTTTGTTCATATCTGAAACACATTCTCTTGTACTTATCACTATTGAAGACTAAAAAGTGTCAGTTCTTTTAGTCTATCGGTGTAGGTCATTCCTTTAAGACCAGGAATGTATCTGATTATCTGATTGTCCTTCTCTGTAATGATTCCAGGGAAAAAATATATTTTGTGTATATTGGATACAGGATTGTATGTTGTGTTTTAAATGAGGTCATAAAGTGAAATCAGGGTCCTAGTACAGATCCCTGTGGTACTGTGCTTATTATATGACTTCAGTTTGAGCATTTGCCCTTATCTGTATACCATTTCATATAAATGAACCAGATATGAATCACAATACACATATTTACCTGAATGCTTCCAGTCTGTAATCTTACAATATTTTATAAGGAGCTTTATCAAATGCCTTCTGAAAAACTAAATTTACCTTATTATATGGTCGGTTTGAATCCATTACTACTTTTGCTTGCTTGAAGAATTCTGACAAGTTAAGCACGTGCTTTATCTAACTCAATGTTGATTATTTCCTAGGATATTATTTCCAAGTATGTGCTAATATAGTTTATTTCTAGTTCATGTTTGCACAGCTGCACGTGGAATTCAAACTTATTGGTCTACATTTTTAGTTCTGTCGCCTTTTTATGAATGGGCGCTCCATTGGCAATTCTTCAGTCCATGAGAACGTTCCTGTCTGCTGTAGTAGTGTTGTCAGTGGCTTATCAGTAACATTTGTTGCTTTCTTAAGTACAATTGCAATTCGCAGGATACAGTTAGGCATCACTAGTGTTTGTTAAACATGGGTGCTTCTAGTACCCAAAACACGTCTGCCTCTTCTATGTTAGTACTATTAAATATAAACCTTTCTTTGTGCCATATGAGGCATGTTTTAATTTCTATCTTGGTGAGCACTTGAGTAATTACCAGTAGTGATATATTTTTGGGCTTATTCAGCACTCAGTCATGCTTCCAGTGGGTAACTTTGATATTCTTTGTTTTAGTATACAGCAAATGGGTTAAAGACATAGGTTATATTCAACTCCTTGGTTGTCATTGCAGGGCAACCTGTGTAAATAGCAGTGCCTCACAGTATATCTTTCCCTCCTTCAACAGGTTTAGTTCTGAAACAGCTGGAAATAGAAATCAGTCATGTCCACGATTCTTTATTTCTCTGTTATCAGTTTTTTTACCATCTGTTAATTTGAGATAAGTACTTAGCCTTTCTTCTAACAGTGAAAGTGCTGTCCCTATGAGTGGAGAGCATTTAACACTGTACTCGTCTTTTTGCTGTCATCAGCTTAATTTGCAGACAGTTTAATAGAAGGGCAGGTGTCAACTTAATGCTTTGGAACTGTCATTGTTTTGGTAATTTGTGGATGGTGTATGGCTTGTTAATGTCATCCCAGGTCAAAGGTTGAG